GTAAAGAGAATTCTAAAAATATAGGAAGAGAAAATCTGAAGAGCAGCCAGTACCCTAGGGCTGAGAGAGAGAGGTCCCAAGAAGAGTCTTTACTTTCCCACCCCCTACCTCATTGGAGGGTCCCAGCCATGGCCCACTGGGTGTCAGGGGAGTCGCTGTGGTGTTGTACCACTGGAACTTTCTGGAAATCTCTCTTTTGGTGTCGAGGAAAGAGGAGGTGTCTCAGAAGAGTCACTCCATAACAAAACTGCCTGGAGGTGGGGAAAGCGAGGTGCTGCTCGGCGCTGGACACTGCTGATGGGTGCGAGAAGTCACCCAGCTGCAGGAGCCTGGCCCAAGAACATAGGAGAGGCCAGGAAGAAAGACTGCTTTCTACTGCAAAATCTCTCTGTTGCTCTCTTCTGACAAAACTTAACATCATGCCAGTGTCAGAGGAAAAATATTTAAAGGGCCCAGCTCTGTTTTTCCAGAGCAATGAAGAATGAATTTGTAGCACTGATGCAGTAAACTTATCACTGATACAGATGGAATATAAAACTACAAGACAGAATGAGCTCATCCAGGAATTAAGTACAGACACAGAAGAGAAGAAGACTGAAGGCTGAACCCTGCAGGCTCTCTCTCACTTAAATAGGTCAGGCGGGAACAGAGGAAACAGCAAAGGTGGCTGAGAAGGAGCAGCCAGGGATGTAGGTGGTGTCCTGGGAACTAAGTAAATCTAAGAAGAGTAGGAGGAGAAGAGCCGGAGAATGTATTGACAATTCTTTTGTCAAATTTTTCTGTAAAGGAGAGCAGAAGGTGGTTACTAGTATAAGGAATGGGGTCAAGAGGAGTTTTTTCTTTTGAAGATGAAATAGCTGCATTTGTATTATAATGGGAATAGTCCAGTGAAAAGGTAAAAATTGATGATGTTGGAGAATGAATAGACTGCTGGAGGGACACTGGAGCAGTAAGAGATGATGGGGTCCAACAGTCCAGTGCGGGAGTCCTTAGGTGGACACAGCTGTGGTTCATCTACAGTGACGGGGCAGGTGGGTGGATGTGGTGGTGGTCGTCTGTGGAAGACCTCTTCTGCCTGCTTCCATTTTCTTAGTGAAGCAGGAAGTGAGGAAGGGGGAGGTGGTGGGAAGAATTGAAGAGACAGGAGGAGGTGTGAAATATTCATTTTGAAGAATGAGAGATTGAATAGACCAGGCAAAGACAGAATTATTAAAATGAGCACAGCTAGCATGGTTCTCTTTTCCTTCAGCCCTGTTTAGTTACATTGCCGTGGCATGGAATAGTTGAGAATTGGGTTTATCCAGGGCTCTCTTTGTACGCAGCAGATATGAAGAGGTAACGGAGTTGAGGTGTGCCAATGATAATGATTGATCATGGAGTTTAAGCTTGCCAACTAGGGAGGGAGGAGAAGTCATTAAAAGAGGAAGAAACAGTGGACAGGTAGTGAGATCTGGATTGGAGGTGCTGGTAAGGTTACAGGAATTTTGGTTTCAGGGGACTAGAGGGAGTAACCGGGAAAGTTAGGAGGTCGTGGTTAGAAGGAACTAGACTGCAGGGGTTGCAGGTCTTGGACCTGACAAGGCATAAGGTGTGATCACAAGGGACTGAGAAGCTGAGGTAAGGCAGAGGACAGAGTGGGTTTCATGGGACCAAGAGGATGGTGGAAGAATTATCCACCTGTATACTGAAATCCCCAAGAAGTGAGATGGCTAGTGTTGTAGGAAAATCCTAAGCCCTTCACAGACAAGGGCAGTGTGTGCCACGCCGGCTAGCCTCCCTAGGACAGCACGGAATGTGTAGTGTATGCAGAGTGAATACCTGTGCAATGCGAGGGCGCGAACGAGCTCACTGTGAAAAGGCATGAAGCATGGGGTCTCGGTTACTAGACTGGGCCTAGTTTTGTGGGGTACAGTTGAACCAGTGGGGCACTGGTGTGATCATATTGAAAAGAAAACCTCTAACACAAGAGAAAGATACATCCTCTGACAATGAACCGAGCTTTGCAGCCATCATAAGTAGCTGGGATGGAGGTTCAGTGAACTCCAAGGCATTTCCTCAGGTGGAAATAGGCGGAGCCCTGGGGAGGCAAAGCCGCACAAGAAGAAAACTGCCAGAGGCTTCGGTCCCTCAGAGAAAGCCCCTTTCCCAGGAACAGAGAAAGGCAAGGCATTCCAGGCTGGGGGCGGGGGTGTTCGTCCCTGACCCCCAAGTCTGTTGGTCCAGGCCAGAAGAGCACTAAGGAACCCGAGAAATCCCCCAGCCCTGTCATCCAGTGACAGTCCATCGGGCGAGTGGGGACGTGGTGCTCGGGGCTTTGGCAGGGAGGGCCACGGTGACTCAGGGTCACCAAGACTAAATGTGCCCCCTTCCGGCGTCTGTCCCGCATCAAGCCACCGGCACCAGCAGCACTGCCGCCCGCGCCTTCAG